TGGTTGGAACCGACTGCTACACTGAATCTGTGTTCATAATATTTTCTCTTTTGTATTCGTATGGCCCTAATGGCCTCCCTCTTCAGTATTTGGTAATCGGTGAAGAAGGCATCTGTTTTAAAGAGCTTCCATTTGTTATATGCTGAGTTACGCTGATTTATAAGTCTTTTAATATCTTGATTAAACCAGGGACGGTTCGTATGTGTTTGCGACCTTTGAACAAGTGGGACATATCTGTTGAAAAGTGTATTAATTTGGCATTGTAGAAAGTTTACTTGATCATCAGTCGATGTCAAATCGCGTACTAAACCCCAATCAATGGCGTCGACCGACCTCTCAAGTTGATTATAACAGATCCGATTAAAGTCACGATATGAATACGAGTTTCGCCTAAGATTTCTTACGTCGAAATCATAAATAAGGAAAATTAAGTCGTGTTTCGAAAAAACTAGGCGCAGATAATTGATCATAGAAGAGGACGTTAGACAAATCATTAACAAGGAATATATCGAGGAGCGTACTGTTTGTTTGGGTAAAATGTGTAGGGTTCAGTGTGTTTACGGCGAAAAGGCCAAGGTTTTGCATATCTAGTGTAAAAGTATTATTGCGAAGTAAGTCACAATTAAAGTCTCCAGATATGACTATATTTCTGTGCGATACTGTTAGGTCTTCCAGAAACTCAATGAAAGGTGAGTAGTCTATTGTTTTATTTGGCCTATAGACACAGCCTATAAGAATCTTGTCCGAGTTTGTTACGATCTCCACAAAGATATATTCAATGGTGTTGGTAATTGGAGAAACACTATTTAATTTATATGACAGCCCATTTTTTATGTAAAGAGCAACGCCACCACCATGACCATTCCTGTCGTGCCGAAGTAATTTATACCCACTGACACTGAAGAAGTCATCGCTATGGCAAGCTGAGAACCAGGTCTCGGAAACACACACCACATCAACATCGGAAAGTTCAAAAATGTATCTGAATTCGTCAATTTTTTTAACTAAGCTTTGTGCGTTGATATGACATATTTTCAGACCTTTCTTTTGTTTGCTTAGTATTCTGACCATATTAAATGTGTTGTCTTTGATGCCTCCCTGACTTAAAACTTTATTGTACATTATTTTGCACAATCCATAAAAGCATTTTAGAAGCGAGCGAAAGCAAACTTGCGGGGAAGGTATAACTAAGAGATCTGTTGGGTGCAGGCGAAAATAAAACAAAAAGAGTAAGAGATGAGAAATTATGGAAAATAAAAGAAAACTTAATAAACTTAATAACTAAAGTGTGAATCATTATGTGTTTTTTTGCAAGTTGTTGTTTTGCGCTGCAATTCTGCTAACATCATCTTTGGATTTTACAACAGTTGCCTGGTCTTTTGGGTGACATCTTACGTGGACTTGCCCACGTTTGGAGAACACATTCAAGAGTCGCTTTTGGTTTTTCAGCTCATAAGCAAACTTCATGAGTTCACGATTTTGTTTTGTCAAACACTCATGCATAAATATTTTACCCTCTGCATCGTGTCCAATGTCCCGGAGAGTAAGCGGTCTTCTCTTGCTTTTGCAGAAACGAGCTACAGCACGGAAAAGTGAAGAGCGATCACCTGAATTTCCCAGTTTTACAATAATTGGTGCAGGTTTGTTGTTGTTGCTTCTATTAAGCCGAAAAATTTTTCCAACTATCAAATGACATAAAAATTTTCCAAATCCTTGAAGAGGTTTTCGAGAAATATTAATTTAAAAAAATGTTGTTGTTTCCCAATAAAATATATATATTTCGTTATGTTCACTTGAATGATCTCTATCGATCGCATTTTTAATTTTTTTTAATTCGAGAATTGTAGGTAGGCATTTGTTCCATTAGTTTTTATACATTTGTGATGCTTTAAGTGTAAAATTTCACGAAATTCTGCATTAAAATGCAATATTCCAATGTTGAAAATCCGCACAACAATCTTGTGAAGTTAATGTGAATAAGATGGAGCAAAACTGGTATTGCCACTCTATTAAAAATAAAATGGAGGTAAATTGCTGCTGCCACTCTCTTAAAAAAGGTTTTGTGCGTCCAACTGCTTTTTGCGTAGGCGGCCTTCGGCCACGCTAAGGGATTATAACCCTCACTACGTAGAATTCTCCTTTCTGTGTTGGCAAAGAAAATGGACTGAACACCTTTGCAGAGAACACCATTTTGCGTAGGCGGCCTTCGGCCGCGCTTAGGGATTATAATCCTCACTACGTAGAATTCTCCTTTCTGCGTGCTAAGAAAAGGAACAGAAATCCCCTTTTCACAAAAGTATATTTCTTGGGTGTTTTTAAAGTTGAAATACAAATTGTATTAATAGAGTGGCAGCACCAGTTTTCCTCCATCTTATTTATATTAACATCACTATATTGTTTGTGCGAATTTTCAACACCGGAATTTTGCAATTAAATACAGAATTTTGCGAAAATGTACACTTAAAACATCACAAATGTACAAAAACTTATAAATACGTGTTAAGTGAGTTCATTTACTCCATTTATATGTATCAAATTCATCAAAACATAGTGCGAATAGTGCAAGTGTTTTTTGCGAGTAACTATTTAATGAATCAAAAATGTTAATTTCCGGTCTCGGATTATTATTATTGGCGTCAAGGCGCGTCGATTGATACCACTATCGGTCTATTTTGACCTGGTTTCACTAAAGTGCACTACTACCGAAAAAAGGATATGAATTAGAACTATGGATTTCTAATGCTCACATTATACAATAGATGTGTGGGGATTTCGGCTGATTTGGAAGACCACCCTTGGTCACGTCCAGAACGTATTTACCAAGAGGAAAAACCGTGGGGATTTCAGTAGTTTTCCTTGCAATCACCGTTGATGATGCTATGCTTGTAATTTATGGTCTGAAAAGATAGAAAATTGCATTAACTAAATGTGTAACACATCAAATGAAAAAATTTCAATAATTTTTGCCATTTCACAAACCGAATTAACAAGAAATAGCAACGCACCGCGATGCGATATAGAAATAAAAACCAACAGGGCTTCCTTTTTTTGGTAAACAACACAAGCGCTCAGAGCAATCTGATCCGCAATATTATTTTGTGAAAAATAAGAGTGGAAAATAGTTTTTAAACATGATTATCACATTATCTGATTACCGCACACTATTGTGTTTATTTTTTGTAGAATTCTATCTATTGGCTACAAAAACAAAAACCCTTTCTACTGGTATACTGTGGTATGAACTGTCGGCTAAAATAGCTCGCGCATCGCTCCGGGTCCGACGAAGCGTGGTCGCCAAAAGATATTCAACTCTGTCGTCACGCTGCGTTGGATTGGACAATGACCTCACGGTAGACCAAAGCTTGCTCACACCAAAGTCGAAGTGGCAGGTCTTCAAATGCTCTTCCCACTTCTTCCGCTCATGTACGCTCACTAGGCCACCACCATTATCTGGCTCGCGATCTCGACGGTGCATATTTTATCCGACGCAATACAACAATGTTAAGACGAATCATAAAACGTGTGGTGCGTGACGAACGCTAGGCCACCACCATTATCTCGCTCGTGATCTCGACGGTGCATATTGTATCCGGTGCAATTCAACAAAGTTGGAAGTGCATTGAGTTGAATTGTAGCACCTTTTTGTGCCTTGGGAGACCAATTGTGATGTGGGATGTAAATGAGTTCAGTTGCCCGCCGGCCCCCTGCTGTATGTGCTGCAGATGAGGGTGCTGCCTTGTGGTGGTGGTGGTGGGCGGCGTCGCGGGGGTAATTTGCGGTTGGGCAGCACAGCAGGGGCCACGTAGTCACTCCTCCAATCATGCGGGTTGCGGGGTCCGGCATACGCCTTAAAGTGGCACCAGCCAACGCTGGAGTTGCAACTGACTGATGTCGCGTTACGGTATATTCTGGACTGAAAAACTGAGCAGATTTTTGGAGGGACTAAGAGTTGTCGGCGGCGGTGTGTGGGTGGAGGTGCTGTAGTGTTCGTATGCATGTGCGTCTATTGTTGTGTCGTGTTGGGGTGTGGATGTGTTACGTGTTGTGCTGCTCGGGCGAGTGCTGGTTTGCCGTGGAGGCGGTCCGATTCGCACAGCATGGGGCCACGAATGACGTGGTCCACTGCCGGGGCGTACGTAGGCCCGAGCAGGTGCGGAGATGACTCCACCCGTCACAGGCGTTGCACCCTACCGAGGTGGAGTTTGCGTGCAATCGTCTCTGGCATACGCAGCAGGTGCATATTTCTGGCCCTGGGTTTGACTATATGCCAGCCCTGAGTAGAAAGATACGGAGCAGATGTAGCCCCATTATCGAACAACGTTTGATGAATTTCGCTGACCTAAACGGGGTTGGATCGCGGAAACAACAGCCTTTGGTCGGGTAAAACGCGGGTCACTCTGATACATAGAACCAGCTTTGTGTACACTGTCGGGTCCAGTGGTTGTTTTATGAACATCTGGCCTTCGTCCATCGGTTTGTATATGTCTTTAGACGGAGCCTTAGCGACGGCTCTGCCACAAGCAGATGTCTGTTCGGGTGCCCACGTCTGTGGCACCCTACTTAGAACTGCTTGAGCAGCATGGTGTTGTGCTCTCAGATGGGGAGCACTTGGGCCTTCTCATACAGGTGGGGTTTTGGAAGCTTTACATCTACGTGCAGTGCAGTCCACGGCAACCACACGGGCGCTGCATGGTTTTTAACCATGCATTTTAGGTTGCCAAGTATGCCTATCACAGTCAGGTGTTTATGCCACGAGAAATGAGCGATGTTCAGAACAGAAGTGATGCAACAAAGAATGGAAATACTTATGAAACAAAAAGGTCTTATGCACACTACCAAATCTAAATTTTTATATTTTAAGATACTTTTACTGGCAACAAAATTCATCAGAAAGGGAGTCACAGGCGTTCACATCAGTGTGTGACGCCACTTATTCTTTTGCTAAGGAAAGCATTTATATGAATTAATATTTGAATATATACTATTCTTTTTCATTACAGGTACGTGTTTTAAATGCAATGAGCGGGTTTTAGGAGAAAACTCAGGCTGTACAGCAATGGAACAAATATATCACATTGCTTGCTTTACGTGTACACAGTGTAAAATTAATCTACAGGGTAAACCTTTTTACGCGTTGGATGGAAAGCCGTTCTGTGAATATGATTACTTGCAAACATTAGAGAAATGTTCCGTATGCATGAGACCTATATTGGAGCGCATACTTCGTGCGACTGGCAAGCCGTATCATCCTCAATGTTTTACCTGTGTTATTTGTGGAAAGAGTCTTGATGGTATACCATTCACAGTAGATGCCACTAATCAAAACTATTGTATATCCGATTTTCACAAGTAAGTTGCCTAATCCCAAAAGAAATACTCAATCTGTGTAAAAATTCATTTTACCTACATAAGGAACCCTGGTACTATCCTTCATTAAACATCTAACTAGTTTAATAGATTTCGTTAACAAAAACCAATTAAAATAAAAAGACCCGAAGCACATATCCAGAGCATATTCACAGCAGAACAGTTTTCTGCGTTTGCAACACTGCGCATAATGTCGCTTCAAGACGCAGAGAGACAAAGGTAGCACCATCGGCAGTACCGATATTTTGTTCTCAGCGGTTTTTGTGACGCCATGATAGAATTAAGGTTTATTTTTAAGGTCTTTTTACTAGTTTTTGCTAGCAGAAATATTTAGCTAAGAATTTATGCAAAAATTTTTCACTGGCAGAGCCTTTCTTTACTCTTCGTTCTTTCTGAGTGTAATATTAAGTTTTTATTTTCTATATATTATTACGCCACAAGAAAATTTTGCAATCCCTTTTTTGAAGACACCATGAGCTCGATTTCAATGAAACATACACCGATTTATCCCGATACATAGGGGGCGTAGCATCTGACATATAGACTAAAATGTGAAAACCACTATATCTCTAAAACCAATTATGGAAATGAAACTTAACACAGATGCATAGATTGTACTTACGGTGAAAAATGGTAGGTACTGGGAAAGTGGGCGTGGCACTTCCTATACAAAATAAAATTCTCATATCGCTTATCTCTGGAACCGCCTATGCTAACGTCCTGAAATTTGACACAGCAACATATGTTGTGAATACCGTACTTATGGCGAAACGTGGTAGACAATGGGAAATATCGCTTATCTCTGGAACCGCTTGTGCTAACATTCTGAAATTTGGCACAGTTATTTATGATATCAATCACGTACTTATGGCGAAAAGTGGTAGATAACGGGAAGGGGGGCGTGGCACCACCCGTACAAACAGAAATTTTCATATCGCTTATCTCTGGAGCCGCCTATGTTAACGTTCTGAAATTTGACACAGGAACATATGTTGTCAATACCGTACTTATGGCGAAGCGTGGTAGCCAATGGGAAAGGGGGTGTGGCACCGCTCATACAAACTGAAATTCTCATATCGCTTATCTCTGGAACCGCCTACGCTAACGTCCTGAAATTTGACACAGCAACATATGTTGTCAATACCGTACTTATGGTGAATAGTGGTAGATTTTGGAAGAGGGGGCGTGGCACCGTCCATACAAACTGAAATTCTCATATCGGTTATCTCTGGAACCAATTATTATAAGGTGATGGAATTTTATACACCTGGTTTTATACACATATAAATTTGCAAGAATCATTCAATTGGAAACCACTTTCTCCCAGATTTTAAAATCGCATTGAATGATTGCTGTCTCGTTAGAGGGATCAGTATGTTTGGCTTCCGATAGGTGCCGCAGGGATTGAGAGCTATCCTAAAAAACCATATTTATGATCAGATTTGTTTCACTTTTAGAACACATATTAGTAACATAATTTGGTATAACTTGGTAGCCAAATCGTGTGATGAAAACATATATTGGGCTCTGGCCCATTCTTGATAAAACCCCATGTGAAACCGCCGTTAGAGAAGGAAATATTATCTTTTGTTGTAAACCTTCAAGATACTTTTGAAACGCACGCCTTTACTTGAACGGAAGTGTGAGCGTGAGCATGTGTTAGTGCAAACATAGTAGCCATAATGCCACAGAAGTGCTGGCAACATATGTTGTGGTCAAGTTTGCATCATGTACCGCCAGCAATATATGTAGCGTTTGGGACATGTAGCACTAGCAACAAATGCATCGGTGAAGCGGTGTGAGTGTGTGAATGTGAATGCGGTATCTGGTCATGGGACCGTTGAGCCGAATTGCGGTTCGCCTGAGTGAAATTTTGTTGACCTAGACACCCGAATAAAAGGTCCTAAAGATGACCAACGGATTCATTATAGTGGTGACATGTTATTCGAACGTGCAAGTGAAAGTGCAAAGTTTCCTTAAGATAGTGTGAAAAAAATATTAATAAAAATAAATCGGTCCATAACCCGCACAGCTAGCGGTCCCGCACATATATCGCAAACCGTCCGGTGAAGAAAATTTGGAGATATCGTCGAATTTGGCTAATTGGAATAGGAAGTAAGCTCTAAAGATTCCTATTAAAGGTGTAGAAATCAAGTGTTTTGCGTTACTAGTGCCGCCATAACAAATAAGCATAACTAAATGCTTATGTACGTGTACGCACAGAAGGTTTATGTTAATATATGTGTGTGATATGCAAGTGTACATAAGCGTAGCATAGCGAAAATCCGACCATAACGATTAAAATGTGTGTGTTTTGTTTTTTTTCGCCCTCCGAGGAATTGAAAAGGACCTCCACTTACCTTTAACTATAGTCGAGACAATAGAGGAGTTATTGTGACCCCCACGGAGGAAGGAACTTCGCCGTTATAAAGTTGACAGTAATATATATCTAAAAATGGACATCTGTGTCACCCATACCCAACCACCAAATTTTGCACCACCACTACTGGTCGGAAAGTCGCAGATACTTTGGTGAGAGATACCCACTTCCATAAGAAACCAGCAGCAAAAGCGGATTTTGGTGTCTAAGCCAGGATCAACGTAAGAAGCTGACCTCCTGCTCTATAGTGAGCCGAACCTACTCGTAGACACGTGGTAGCCAGAGCATCGATGGCGTCAATATCCCCAGCCCTACCAGCTGTGGATGAAAAAAAAAGTCACTCCAGTTTTATTGAGTTTTTTTCTTGTATTCATTCGAAATGTTGCTCAGTTAGAGTTTTTTCTTGTATTCATTCGAAATTTTGCTCAGTTGGAGTTTTATTGAGTTTTTTAGATATTAAGAGAGTTTTCAAAGTACATATAAGTTTTGAAGTATATAGTTTTTTTTTAAATAGCAATATTACTAAGAGAAGAGTTGGTTTTGTATTACTTACCTAGTTTCTTCCGTCCATTTTCCTTTATTCCTTTTTTTTGAGTTTTTTTGTATGAGATTTCAGTTTTTACACAGTTGATCACATTTCTCTTTTTTTCCACACAGTTTCTCACATCTTTTTTTACTGGAATTTATTAGTATAATAGCGGTTTCCTATTTTTTTTTTTTTTGCACGTTTTGATCGGCCAATTATCAATTTTCTATATTGATTTGATTTGGTTTGAATTTTTATATATATTTTTTGTAACTTTTATTTTATTGGTTTGAATTAGAGATGGGCACGGGCCCCTGCGTAAGCCCGCGGGTACGGGCCAGAATTTTTGCTGTCAGCACGAACTCGTGCGTGCATGGGCGTTCAGTAAAATTTCACAAAAGCACGAAAAAGCCCGTTGCTAATACTACAAATTTAGATAAACTTTTGTTTTTATACAAAAAAAAAAAATAGTACATATTAAAACTCTTTTGATAAAAGAAAAGCAAAAAAATAAATATTTGGGAACCGATAGAAAAAATTAGCTACGTAGTAGTTTTGTTTACATATCTGTACATAAAATACCCTCCACTTTTTCAGCTTCCCAGAAAATATATTATACAAATCTTTGATGTAAAAAATTGATTCGCTTAAGTAAATATACATACATAAACACAAAATTAAAAATATATACATATGTATACATACAATAAAAGTTGGTTTTTTATTTCCGGGCTGGGACGTGTCCCGCGTGCCGGGCCGGGTTGGGCCGGGCCCCACTAAAATTCTTATAGTGCGGGCTCGTGCGTGTTTTTGAAAGTTGATTTTGCACTCGTGCCGGGCCGGGCTTGAAAATTTAGGCCCGTGCCCATTTCTAGTTTGAATCACTAAAATCAACCCCCCTATTATGAATTTCCATACGATAAACGATAAACGCTTGCAAGCGTATCGTATGAAATCAGTATTGGTATTGTCGTTTTCATACGCCCGACTGATACACTATTGTGAATGACCGTGGTTTTTGTTTAATTTATTTTGTAAAATTGAGAACGAGCAATAAAATAAAAATTAAAGGACATCTTTTCTACAATTACGTTTTTTATAAATTTAAATGAAGGAAGTAATGAGACTCGCATAGAAATTTAAGAGATGCTTCGAATCCTCTGGAAATGAATTCTATATTGTAGGTAGCTCATAAATGTAGATTTAAAAGCTTAATTATTAAGAAGCGCTTTTACTTTTCAGAGGAATTTCCGACTTTCCAAAGAAGCAGTTATTTATATCCTGAATTAAGTAGAAAACAAATTGCGTGTACGGAAAAATAAGTCATCCATACCAAATATAATAAAGGTCTGCGCAACTCTAAGATTTGTAGCCCAGGGATCATATCTACAGAGTGTTGGTAATGAGGCGTTACTTGGTTTAGCCCAACCTACTGTTTCCATTGTATTGAAAGAAACATTGAGTGCTTTGCAAACCACTCTATGTAGTAAGTGGATTAGCTCCAAGTATACTGAGGAAGAAAAGAGAAGAGCAAAATCTAGCTTCTTTGCATCAAGTGGTATTCCCGGAGTAATTGGATGCATTGACGGAACCCACATTAAGATTGTGGCACCAGAAAAAAGTTTGCAGCATTTGTATTACTGTCGAATAGGGTATTTTAGCATAAATGCAATGCTAGTAAGTAAAGAAATTTCTATACAATAATTTAAAGTATTTTAAGTTTAATGTTTTTTCCTGTTACAATCTTGCGCCCGTTTTAGACCCGTGATGATTTAAATATATAAAATACATCAATGCCAAGCACACCGGCGCTTCACATGACTCCATGGTTTTTCAAATGTCGGGATTAAAAAGACAATTGGAGTCAATGTATAACCGTGGTGACTCTAACACCTGGTTATTAGGTACTCAACTTGTAACTCAAACATTTTAAATTTAATTTATTTACTTTCTATGTTTTAAGGTGACGCTGGATACGCCTTAGCGCCTTATTTGCTAACACCTTACAGGAATCCTGAAGAAGGTTCAGTAGAAAGTTTATATAACTCACGGCACTCTAAAGCAAGGAATATTATT